GTTATTCTAATATTCATTGTCACCTTTTCTTTGAGTGGTGTCTCATACCTGTATCCAAGCACTTTAAGAGTCTGAGGCGGGTGGATCACTTGAACTCAGGAGCTTGAGACCAGCCTGGACAACATAGCGAAACTGCGTCTCTCTACAAAAAGTACAAAAATTAGCCAGGCATGGTATCATGAGCCCAGCTACTTGGGAGGCTGAGGCAAGAGGATCACTTGAGCCTGGGAGGTCAAAACTACAGTGAGCTGTGATCACACCACTACACTCCAGCCTGGATGACAGAATGAGACCTTGTCTCCAAAAAAACAAGAAAGAAAATAAAAAAGATATATACCTGAAAGACTGTGTTTGTGTTCTCTAATTGATAGAGGATTTTGTATATTTTCATGAGTATCATTCAAATCTTGAATATCTTTACTAATATTGTTCCTTCTTGATCTGTCGGTTTATAAGAAGCATATGTTAAAATACCCAGGATGATTGTGGATTTGTCCATTTCTCCTTGAAGATATCTCCATTTTTATTTTATATATTTTTAAGGCTTTTCACAAATTTTTGAGGATATTCAAGCTTGGAATAGAGTTATTTCCCTAGTAAAGTGTTCCTTTTATTATTTTGTAATGTACATAATTTTAATAAGTCTTTTGCTTTAAAGTTCATTTCTCCTATTAATAAAGATACTCCAGCTTTCTGTTGGTTAGTGCTGTCTGATACAACTTTTTCCATCTCTTTACTTTCGATCTTTCTTTGTCATTATGTTTTAGGTGTGCCTTTTGTAAATAACATATAGCTGGATTTTATTTTTTGATCTAGAGTTTCTGTCTTTTAACTGGTGCGTTATGATACCTGTATATTATGATTACTGATATATTTTTATTTTTCTTTTTTTGCTTTGTGTTTCTCTCTGCTTCTGTTTTCCTTTTTTCCTGTCTTCTATTTAAATGACTAAGATCTTTTTATTTCATGTCCGCCTAATGGTCTAAAAGCCATGTATATTCTATTTCTATTCTTTTAGTAGTTATTACCCTGATTTTATTTGCTCATTTATTTTTATACACAAGGCATTTCTGTAATATTACCCTGATTTTAAACTTGCGCTCTGACTTAACAGAATCTGAAATTATCCATTATCTGTCAGACAATCATGACCACTACAAGAACATTAGAATGCTTCAACTTCAATTATTTGTCTAATTTTTATATTATTTAGTATTTTAGTCCTACCTGCTGAATTTCCACAAGTTAATCATTACTGTGTAGTTATTACTTTTATAAATTCAATGCTTGTTTATATTTACTTACACATTTGTTTTCTCTGCTTATTCTTGCTTCTTGCATCTGAGTTTTTTCTTTCACGTTCAGTTTATTTCTTTCTAAAATATATACTTTAGATTTCTTTTCAGCAAAGATCAATGATTAATAAATTCTGTCTTTATCTTAAAATGCTTTATTTTGCCCTGCATATTAACTGATAACTTAGCTGCTGGGTATAAATAGATCTAGGAATGGACCTGTGAGATATACCTACAGAGAGATATGTAGATACAGATACAGATATACACACATATACATGCACATACATACATATATATGTCTCTCTTTTTATTGTAAAATAAAACAGATTAAAAAACAAAATAAATGTATGGCTCAGCGAATTATTATAAGGCAGCACCCTTGTAACCACCACTCAAGTGAAGAAATAGAATGTGGCCACTCAGGAATATATTTTTATTTAATCTGCTGAGGACTTTTGCAACATTCTGGGTAATTTTCTCAAATTTACTAAGTCTTTAGTAAATTTTACTAAGTCTTTTTTTTTTTTTTTTTTTTGAGACAGAGTCTCACTCTGTGGCCCAGGCTGGAGTTCAATGGTGTGATCTCTGCTTACTGCAACCTCCACCTCCCAGGTTCAAGCAGTTCTCCTGCCTCAGCTTCATGAGTAGCTGGGACTACAGGCATGTGCCACCATGCATTTTTAGTAGAGACAGGGTTTGAGCTATGTTGACCAGGCTGTTCTCAAACTCCTGACCTCAAGTGATCTGCTCACCTTGGCCTCCCAGAGTACTGGGATTACAGGTGTGAACCACCATGCCCAGTAATTTTACTAAGTCTTGAGAAAATTATCCAAAATGTTGCAAAAGTATCCTCTAATGTACTGTCTTTCTTTAGCTGTGTCTAATACGTTTAGTCTGCCTTTTTTATTGCCTCATTTCTCTATTTGCACAGCTCTATTTAATTCTTTTTCTTTCTTTCTTTCTTTTTTTTTTTTTTTTTTTTGAGTCAGGGTCTCACTCTTTCGCCCAGACTGGAGTGCAGTGGTGCGATCATGGCTCACTGCAGCCTCGATCTCCTGCTCTCAGGTGATCCTCTCGCCTCAGTCTCCCAGGTAGCTGGGACTACAGGCATGCGCCACTATGCCCTGCAAATCTAAAAAAAAATTTTTTATAGAAACAGAGTTTCGCCATCTTGCCCAGGCTGTCTTCTTTTGTGTCTTTTATCTTTTACAGCATGCTGGTCATTTACAGATTGTTTTTCTGCTGTTTCAAGTAATCCTTCTGTTTGTTGTGTCTGTGGAGTCTAGTTCACTTACTTAGTAATATGAAGACATCAGGGCTTTATAGGAATTCTGGTCAGGCTAAGTTGTGAGAATATCTCTGGTTCTATCATGTGTCCCAGGGTGTCACCATGTTTGGCCAGATTTTCCTACTTCTCCATACCATGCGAAAGAGTAAATTCAGATCTCAAATCTAAGAAGCATAAACCTAGGCATTTAAGATCACAGGAGGAACTTTGTTCAACTAGGGTCTAGACAGAAACAAATGAGTGCTAGCAGGTGAATTAATTTTTCTGTAGTTTGTTTTCACCGAGGTTTAGCTTTCGTTGGTTTCAAGGTTTATGCAAGAGTGGTAATTCTAGACCATCTCATTTGAGCTGACAGCCTCATCTTTTATCCTCACAGGGTATTAAAACTCAAGTTTCTGGATTGCTGAGACCTGTAACAACTCACCTTTCCTCCCTTTGTGTAGCCACAGCACTGGGTCATATGCCTACCTCTCTGGTTTTTTGTACCCACTTCCTGGCTGGCACCCAGGAATTCCCCTTTCTTTCTTGTGAGCCTGGTCTTTGGCGGTTACCAATGGAATATGTAATCCTTTTTAAAAATAAAACATTTCTAGATATTTGTGTGGAGATTTGCCAACATTAAGAGTCTTTCTAAATATGGGATGAGAAAAAAAAACTGTTTTCATTGGTGATTTTACACCAGAATTTATCTGTCACAGGTAGATATGATTAGGACAAAACACTGGCAAATAAAAGCTAGGAATTAATTCATCAAAGTCTTTATTGAGAAATACTTGAGTCTGGCATTTGAGTTGCTATTGGGATTCCTCCTTAGAAGGAAACCAGCTTTTTATCCAGTGTTATGGAATCTTTTTCTCTAAGGAGCAATGAAACCTCCTTGATTGGCTAATCACTTAAAACACATGAGTATTCCATATTATCTGCTAGTATGTTGCACACATCCCACTCCTGCTATTTTTGTTCATAATCAAGTAAATTTTCATTCACAATTTTTTTAACTGTGATAACTAATGTTGCTTATAGTATGGGCATAAATGTCAAATAGGTTGTCTCCTTGAGAAGATTGTTACTTGAAAAAAGTATTGTATTTTAAACAAATAATAAACCATAAGCATAGTAGAATTGCTACCTTGAAGTCTTTCCTGCTCCTCTCAGAAACTCTGGGATATGTTTTATGGTGCATCCTTCCCCTGTCAAATCTCATCAGTTTGTCTTCTTGGTACAATTATTTTAAGGCATTATGCATCTTCGTAGGCAAATAAATACAAATTCAAAAGTTACAATTGGTGATATTTCTACAAATAGAAGATAAACTCTTAGGAAGTTTAGGCAGAGACCTAAAAGTTAGAACCCAGAGGGAATAACACAGGAGGAAGCAAATATAGATTTAGAACTATACGATGGGTAAGATGGCAAGGGTTTAAAATAATTGAGAGAATTAAGAAATGTTTGTCTTTGTTTACTACTATTCTCAGTGATTGGAACTTCTCAACACTTAAGCCTTAATTTTTCTATCTTCTGGAATTTCTATCAAATAAATAATTATTTTTTAATGTATACCCTATCAACTCCTCCCCCAAAGCACCAGATAAGCTAAAATGAATTATAAGAGAGGCCAAAAATTACATGGAAAAGGAAGAAGAAATATCTTACAAGCACTTAACTTGGGGTGGTTGTGAGCTTCCTCTAAGTTGAGATAATAAATGAGCTATGTAATTGCATCATTGATCATCTAAAAAATAACTTTTTAGGCTAACTTTCAGGCATGATATATTAGCCCTTTTGAATTTTTAAAATTCTATAATAAACATCTACCTTTAAGAAATGATCTTTTTTTAAAGACAATTTTGTTTACCATCGTTAAACATAACATTAGCATTGTCAAACCGACACAAGATGGTAAGGTAGAAAAAAAAATTTTTATCCTTTTTTTATCTTTGGGTTTACTATCCCCCTTCTTAGAATTTGGTCTTTCCTCCTTCTTCAGGTTTCCCAGTGTTTTCTCAGTCTTGCCTAATAAAGTCATTCATACTAATGTGTTAGACAGTTCATGTTGCCTTACTAGGACTATTTGCATTCTTGAAAAAAAAAGATTAAATCAACAATTGAAGTATACACACATACAAAAAGTGAACAAGAATGAATGAATGGATTCATGGAAAGGATGGATGGATGGATGGATGATGGTACCATTTCATGCATGAGAAGTCTTTCTGATGGGATAACATATACCCAGAACTCATATTAAGTAGATGGTGGTCTGTTCCAGTGAAGAGAGGGTCTGTCAGGTAGATTCTACCAGTACTTTGCCACTATAGTGTATCTCAACCACTAACATGTATTATCAACTTTCTTCTTTTGTCACTTGTCATACTAGCTTGAAATCAAATCCCTTTTTTGTTTGTTTATTCAAGACTGAAAGAGCATATTCCTTTTGTGGAACTATTGAATACATGGCACCAGATATTGTCAGAGGGGGAGATTCAGGACATGACAAGGTATGTTCTATTTTTGATGCTGCTTTATATATTTCTATAAAATGTACTATAAGAATCCTAATTAACAACTTAGGTCATCTCTTCAACAGAGCCGTCTTTCTGGTGTTGATTGTCTTACCATCCTTTTTTTCTCTTTTGCTTTGTATTCCTGAACACATTATGATATCTAGTATTTTGGAGGAAAAAGATAATAGAAAGGTTAGGACATTCTAGATTTCCCTTTTAAAGGTTTTATTGGTGAGAATTGTGTTTTATTTTATAGAGTAACAGTCTTATTAAAGTTGAGAGCTTAAAACTAGTCAAATAATTTTTATTTTATTTCCATTGAGAGAGCCTATTTCTTAGAGTACAAACTGTGACTCCATTCTTTTAAAAAATTGTGGGCCTGTAATCCCAGCACTTTGGGAGACCAAGGTGGGTGGATCACCTGAGGTTAGGAGTTTGAGTCCAGCCTGACCAACATGGTGAAACCCCATATCTGCTAAAAATACAAAAAATTAGCCTGGCGTGGTGGTGAGTGCCTGTAATTTCAGCTACTCGGAAGGCTGAGGCAGGAGAATGTTTGAACCCTGGAGGCAGAGGTTGCAGTGAGCAGAAATTGCGCCATTGCACTCCAGCCTGGGCAACAAGAGTGAGACAGCGACTCAAAAAAAAATTGCTTACTTATTTTTGCATGAGACCGTGGCCTTTTAGGATGCAACTGAACCACAGTGCAATACAGAAGTGTCACTGCATGTAAAACTGCACATTGTTCCTGTTTGAGTCGTGATGAATGATTTTGGACAGTATTTATTGGCATTTTTAATTTCTGCTAGAAAAACATTCGGAAACATAGTCATCTGTATCACCTTTAGTTAATATTTGCTTTTTAAGCTGTCACTGAGAGGTCAATGAAAAGGGAATCAGTGATATTTTCTTATTCCCAGTTTCTGCCTTTAACTTTCCAGAGACACTGGAGACTTGATTATCTTCCCAACAGAAATAAATATTTTAACAACCCTAGGAGAAAGAAAAAATCCTGAGTTCTAGATAGTTTGTTTGTTTTCCTAAGCCCTCTAAAAAGCTCAATATTTTTGGCCTTCTCTCTTCCCTTTGTATGTGCAAAATGAAGATTCTAGAAGAAACTTTCTAAGTAATTATGTTACAAAATCTAGGTCGTGGATTTTTTTCTGTATTAAAGGGTACAAAATTTGTTCATTTTTTTTAACACTTCTGTTTTATTAATAGCTTTATCCAAATAAGGTATTCTATTTTTTGTTCCCCATCTTTCCTTCTCCTTCATTCCCTTTCAGAGTCCCACATATGCAGTTCAGATATCTGGCTGTGGAGAATCTCTGGTCTCCTTCCTGATGACTAATCATATATTTAAAAGCACGTTCTTCAAGTTTGTGTGGTATTGGTTTTGGGACCCAGGGCTAAGAATCTGATTATTGATCTCTTGTCATTCGAAGAACGTGGTTTTGAATCCAACAGCAAAACATTCTGAGGGTTCTGACTCAAATGGCAGTCAAACTGCTTGTATAAATAGAAGAGTTTAATTGCTGGTTTAGTTTGCTTCTTGATATTCTTTGAAGCTGTTGGGGAATTTGGTAGGAATTTATACCTGTTAATTTGAAAATTATCTTCAAAGACCTAATGGAACTTATTTTCACATAAGAAAATCTTGTATTACTCCTAGAATTTCTACCTACCTAAGGTGCAGAATATAGCTAGTCAATAAATATTTTTTCCCACACCTGGAACAACCTGACAGTTATTAAATGAGATAATGTATGCAAAGTGATCATCATAGCACCTGGCGTGGGGAAGATATTTAGTAAATACTTTTGCTCTCATGATTTTAGTTTTCCTGATGTGTTCTGTATGTCAGCACTCTGTATTTTCTTAGTAGCTCTAAGCCCATAAATTTTGTCACCTCTCTTAAACTTAGGCCCCGGAAATTCAAAGCAAATAGTTTGAAATTTTAACATCTAGCTAATATTTCTCATTGGTGTACACTAATGTGTTCAACAGTTATTAAAATTCTGATTTGCCTAATTACAAAAGAAGTAATTTTCAATACATCAAGATTCTTTAGGCCAGGCTTGGTGGCTCACGCCTGTAATCCCAGCACTTTGGGAGGCTGAGGCGGGCGGATTGCTTGACCCCAAGAGCTTGAGACCAGCCTCGGCAACGTAGTGAGACCCTGTCTCAAATAAAATAAAATAAAATAAAATATTCTTTAAATTATGTATCATTTGCTATGTTCTCAGTTCAGGTAACTGCATTTATAAATAGGTTTCCAAATTAGAACACATTTTATTTTATATTATTTTAGATCTTCCCATCAGTGAAGACTCTGAGGTTTATGTGTGATAGGTTCTAGAAGAAAAATTGATTTAGGCAGTTAGGAAAAAATAACATACCTTTGGATGTGGTATTTTTTTTTCATTTTTTGTTCTTTGATTTTTGGACATTTCATAAGGCTCACTGGAACTGAATACTTTAGTTCCCTATCATAAGCCCAAAGAAATATCACCTACTTAAAATTTTAAAAATTTATATCAAGTTTAAATTTTTTTAATTAATCAAGGTAAATGGTTACTAGTTTAAGAAATAACATGCTTTCTGTGCTGAGGATACTTGAATATTTGTTCTCTAGATGTCTTTCTTGCATGTGCTAATTTAATACTCCTTACATAGAAGGAGGTGTACAAAATCATTTTTTAAAACATTTTCCTAATAGATAGCTTTCTTCATTTTTTTCTTTCTTATAAAATATTTTAGTTGATAATTCTATAAAATGAAATTATTGTTGTTTTATAGGCAGTTGATTGGTGGAGTTTAGGTGTTCTAATGTATGAATTACTAACTGGAGCATCTCCTTTCACTGTTGATGGAGAAAAAAATTCCCAAGCTGAGATATCTAGGTAAGATTTGACAAAATAAAATAAATGCATTGTTTTCTCAAAGGAACTGATCACATTTCTGCAGTTAGGCTGATGTAAACAATAATTTTTTTAAATGAGGATAGACAAAGTGATGTTTATGTGGTAAATTTTCTTTTCTGTCATATAGCATATAGATATGTTACCTTTATATTTCTTTATACTGATTGTATGTGTCCAATTGAATCTGAAGTTTAACTTATCATCTGTAGTGTCATGATTTTGGTGTGCCCCAGAGCACTTGGAATATTGTCTTACACTTAGTAGATACGTCATATATTGAGAAGTTTATTTAATGGATACTTTTTTCTCCACTGTGTATGTAATTTATTTATTTGTGACTTTAACATGAAGAAACAGTAATGGCATTTTTGAACTCATGAATGTAGGCTCAACAGAAACAAATACCACAAAATTATCCTCTTGTAGGTCTCAGAGCATTATTCTCTTATTTTCCTTCATAGCAGCTATCACAGTTGCAGTGTTACATTTTTGTTTATAATTATTTGATTAATGTCTATCTGTCACACTAGATTGTAAGCTCTGTGAGAGTAAGGGACATGTCTGGCTTTGATTCTCAGTACTTGCTATATAGAACTCCATAAATATTTGAGGGATAAAATGGGTTAATGAACAAATAAGTAAATAGTGACCAACATTATACTAATTACTAGTTATGTTTTTGTCCTGTTTTTACTTGAATTTTATAACTTTGAGAACAGATTTGGCATTAAAAATTAAAAATTGAGATTCCACTTCCAAAGAAGATGGAATAACAGGGACCAGATTTACTTTCCTGCCTGAAACAATTTTAACAATGGGCAAAATACATGAAACAACAGATTTGACGACATTGGACATCTGGAAGTGAAGGACAATGGTCTTTGAGAGGCGGAAAAATAAATGAGGTGAGCCCTGTGATTGCCCCAGCTTACTGCCTTGAGAGCATTTCCAGGCTGCAAAACCCAGACGCAGTTGAGGAGGTGGAACTGAGAGTCCAAGAAGATCAGGACAGCTAGAGTTTGCAGGCCAGAGCGTGGGAGACAAGAGTGGCACCCAGAGGGAAGTCCAGAGATGTGCAGAGGTGTTCAGTTGAGTATTGGTAAGCACACAGTGAGGGAACTATTCCATATAGTTAAGATGTTATTTCTTGCCAAATTGAACTGTAGATTCAATACAGTCACATTTCCAGCAGGCATTTTTTTTTCTTTAGAAATTGACCACCTGGGTCTAAAATTCATTATGAAAATGCAGAGGACCTAGAATAACCAGATTAGCTTTGAAGAAATAGAAGTCTTGAAATAAACTTTGTTCTAAGTTACAGTAATTAAGACATTGTGGTTTTGGTGTCAAGACAGACAGATGATCAGTGGCAAATGATTTTTGACAAAGATGCAAAGTCACTTCTGTAGTTTTGAACAAATGGTGCTGGAACCACTGGCTATCCAGATGGAAAAAAGTGAACTTCAAGAAATACTTCATACCATATAGAAAAATTAACTCAAAATGGATTATAGACCTAAATGTAAAAGCTAAAACTATAAAACTTCTGGAAGGAAACATAAAGGAAAAACATTGTGAGCTTGGTTTAGGTAAAGATTTCTTAGATATGACACAAAAAGTGCAATCCATAAAAGAAAACATTAATAAATTGAACTTCATCAAAATTAAATATTTCCGCTCTTCAAAACTGTTTGAGAGAATGAAAAGACAAGCCACAGACTGGGATAAAATTTTAAATCATATGTCTGCTGAAGGACTGGTATCCAGAATGTATAAAGAATTCTTAAAACTCAAGAAAACAAACAACCACGTTTAAAAATGGGCAAAAAATTTGAACAGACAGTTCACCAGAGAAGATGTGTAGGTGGCAAATTAGCACATGAAAAGACTATCAACACCTTTAGTCTTTAGGGAAATGCAAATTAAAACATCAATGAAATAGCACTATATACTCAAGTAGTATGGCTAAAAACAAAGAGACTGATGATACCAGGTGCTAATAAAGACGTGGAGGAACTGGAACTTTCATACACTGCAAGGGGAAACGTAAAATGGTACAAAAACTTTGGAAAATAGGCAATTTCTTAAAAAGTTAAACGTTACTCACTGTCTGATCTGTCCATTCCACTCCTGGGTAATTACCAAGGAAAATGAAAACATATGTCTATATAAAAACTTGTGCATGAATGTTCATGACAACTTCATTTGTAATAACCGAAAACTGGAAATAACCCAGATATCTGTCAACAAGTAAGTGGTTAAACAAATTGTGGTTTATTCATACAAATGGAAGACTCCTTAGCAACAAAAAGGAATTTATCTAAGACATGTTCGGTAGTGCACCTGTAGTCGCAGTTGCAGAGGAGGGTGAGGTGGAGGGATTGTTTGAGCCCAGGAGTTTGAGGTCAGCCTGGGCAGTGTAGCAAGACCCTATCTCTTAAAAAAAGGAACGATTTGTTTATACACTTGCAAATGGATGAATCTCAAAATAATTACACCGAGTGAAAGAAGCGAGAAAATATAGAATATATACCTTATGATTCCAATTCTGGAAAATGCAAACTAATCTACAGTGACAAAAAGCAGAATAGCAGTTGCCTGGGGACTGGGATTGGGGGAGGTCAGGAGAGATTACAGTGGAACATAGGAAAACTTTGGAAGGTGAAGAGTATGTTTATTATCTTGATTGTGGCAATGGTTTCACAGGTGCATACATATGTCAAAACTTATCAAACATAGAACATTTTCTTCCATGAAATTAAAAAAACATACAGTTATACACTTTTTGTATGGGAATTTTATTGTACGTCAATTGTACTTCAGTAAAACTGTTAAAAATTTAAAGTGTACCTATTCCAAGACAGGCTAGAAAAATGATTTCTCACTGTTTCAGTTTATTTAGTACCAAAGTTAAGTGAGCAGTACTTCTTTTTAAAATCAGGGTGAGTTAAAATCACATCTCTTATGAAAAATTGTAAATATGACTTTGTTTATTTTAAATTGATTTTTTGGCAGTTTGAAAATACCTCAGAATATAGGAAACTGTGGCCACGGTCCTGAGAATTTGGGTCCAGTTGCAAGATCATACCTGTCATGGTGACAGGTACTAAAGGTGGCCTTAGCCTGACAACATTAAGTGGTGGCTTCTCTAATTCCCCTCTTTCTGATTCCACATATACGGGCAATCTTTTTAAAATAATTTTCCTTTCCACTGTAGGTCTGAGTGTGGAGACAAGTATATTGCTTATGATGACAAGAATATTCTGAATAAAGTAATGTTCACATTTAAATTGCTTTTATTCCCTTTATATTAATCAATTGGCATTCTGGTTTTAGAAAGAGAAAGAGAGCCTGAATCAGATTGTCTAAAACCTTACAACTAAAGCAAATAGACTTTTCAAGAATTTAAATAGGATTCCTTCCCTTTAATCAATTAATTATCCACTTTGTCATGGTGTCAACCTGTAATTTCACGGTTTGTGTGTGTGTGTGTGTGACAGAAATTTACAAACAATGTGATAACTAAATTACCCTACACTACATTTTCCTTTCAGAATAATCATTCTAAGTATCTTTCCTGGCACAAATCTTATATGTATCATTTAGATAAATGTGTCATTATCTGTCCCCTTTTTATCATCCTTCAAAGTAATGTATTATCTGAGTTATCTGTTTGCCATTTTTGTCTACAGGTAGCCTAGAATAAAAATATTTTTCCAGTATATCAAATTTCAAAATATGCTAAGAACTTACAATGAGAAGAATCTTAGAGTCCAACTTTTCCCCTGCCATAAGAATCCCTTTGTCTGTAAGAATCCCTGATAGTTTTGCCATCATGGAAAGGATGGAGCTTATATAAGGTGTTTTTAAGGAAGCTATGTTCATTAATGGACAACTTTAGTTTATGAGTTTTCCCCCACTTAAACTGAAATTATTATTTTCTCATTTCTGAATGTTGATTTTGGTCCTGCCTGCTCAAGAACATGGAATAATTCTATTATTTCTTTCCAGACATTACCTTAAGGATAGTTTTATCTAGGATAAATCTTTGTAGTTCTTTTAGCTATTTGTTAGAAATCATTTCTAGATTTCTCATATCCTGGTACTATTTTGGACAAATATTAAATTATCAGTATTATAGATTGGAATGATTGGGTTTTAGCTTTTCTGTGAGTCTGTTTCTTATTTTTTAAATATATGTACCTGTGCTTTTCTTACATGTCTTACACTAGCTTTTATTTTATTTATTTATTTTTTTAATTTTGAGATGGAGTCTCACTCTGTTACCAAGGCTGGATGTAGCGGCATGATCTCGGCTCACTGCAACCTCCACCTCCCAAGTTAAAGTGATTTTCCTGCCTCATCCTCCCCAGTAGCTCCATTACAGGCACATGCCACTACACCCGGCTAATTGTGTATTTTTAGTAGAGATGGGGTTTCACCATGTTGGCCAGGCTGGTCTCAAACTCCTGACCTCAAGTGATATGCTTGCCTCAGCCTCCCAAAGTGCTGGGATTACAGGATGAGCCACTGCGCCTGGCTTCCATTAGCTTTTATTGCCTTTCTGTATAGAACATCTTTTAGGCCAATGGCCACTCTCAGTTCCTTGCCATGTGGACCCTTCTAACCTGACAGCTCTCTTTGTCAGAGCCTGTGAGCTGGAAAGGCAGTAGACTCCACTAGGAAGATGGGATGCCTTGTAACCTAATCATGCAATTGACATCCTGTCATCTTTCTGTACCAAGTATTGGTTATACGGAAGGCACTAGGTCCAATCCACAGGTAAGAGACTGTGAATGCAAATATACAGTGCTCATTGGAGCCAAAGTCTGCCTACCATGAGCCCTTTACAAAAAAAGATTGCCAACCCTTTGCCTAGGTAATTAATTTTGAGATATGTTGCTTTTGGAGTCATGTATAGAGTAACTACAAGTATCATTTTTTTTTTTACCCTGTTTTAAGAAGAAATGAAATGTATT